AACCTTATCGCTCTCTAGAACTACCTGAAAGGAGGGTGCAGAGAGGTGAGGATTGGTCTTTTCTCCCAAGTGACAAGCGATAGAACAAGAGAAAATAGCTTCAAGTTGTGCCAGGGAAGGTTCACATTGGATATTAGGAAAAATTTCTTCACAGAAAGGGTTGTCAACCTTTAGCACAGGCTGTGCAGGGAGGTGGCTGAGTCACCATCCCTGGAGGTATTTAAGAGATGTATGGACAAGGTGCTTAGGGACATGGTTTAGCTGGGGACTTGGCAGTGTTAGGTTAATGAGTAGACTTGATGATCTTAAAGGTCTTTTCCAACCTAAAAGATTCTACGATGCTATGAAGTTTATTATATATCATACAAAATACAGTGATACTATGAATAAAACTAATTGCCAATTTGTCAGACCAGTGGTCTTTACTACATACCTAAAATACAAGCTTCAAATGTAGTGTTTTCATATGCCAGCACTGTAGTTTTAAGACATTCCCATGCCAAATATTTCATAATGACAAAATTTTCTTAGAGCATAGGGTTGAAGCTGTTTGGCAGCCTTAACCACAGCAATCTCTATCCCTTTCTCCCCAATACACTTTTTCCCTCCAAATCAACAAAATATTTGGTGCATTAAATACTGCAGTTCCAAATGCACAAGTGTTTTACATCTTGTGGTTGGAATCACTCATGTGAGGCATTCAAAAGTAATCAAGGTCTATCTGGGTACAAAACACAGGTCCTTTTGAAAAGAAAAAAAACTTTCAAACCTGAGATTTTTCTAAAAGATCAACCAAAATAGGTGGTAGTTCCTCTGCATCCAAATATTCAAGCAGCTCTCCCTCCTCATAAGGCAGCCGAATGGTCTCGGAATCTGAATTTAAACAAAACATAATACTTTTATTTTGCCTTTCAAGTTCAAACTTTAATAATGCGAAATCTACAACAAGCTTGTCACAGAAAAAAGCAGGGCCAGTGGAAACCTATCCAAGCAGGCAATATTTTGTCCAGTATTAATTTTTACATCCATTTCTGTTCCCAGAGCTTGATTTGGTCTTACTGCACAGAAAGGCAACATGCCTTAATAGCTCAATGGGACAAAATTTTAGCTCCCAGCTGATATACTGTATGGTCTTATTGCACATCACAGTACCAGTGGCATGAAGATGCAACCAAACTGGAGCACAGAGGCCTTTAGGCAGATCTAGATTTAGGAAGCAGTGAAAGAACCAATTTGAGAGAAGGAACCTGAAGTGAGAGAAACTCAGATAAGCAACTCAGGAAGCTAAGAGAAAATAAGAGAATTGAAAGCTATCAAAAAGACTCATATCGACTGATTTACGCTGCACTGTTAGAGACTGTTTCTGAGCACCTCACAGCTTTACGTGAATTTTTAGTTCAAGTACAGTTATTTTTTTTCTTAACAAGGAATGATGCAAGAACTGAAACAAATGTAAGCAACATCACATTTTATTTAGAAAGGCTTACCTGAACCATTTTTTCCCCTGAGCATAAGTGAATAACCCTCATTTCCTGGATAGAGGTTCACTACCAGACATGACAACGTCTCCTGCATAACCAGCTTCTCAAGTAAATTCACATTTCGCCTCAGCTTCTGCTTTAAAAGTAAACATTGCTCATGAACATAATACCATCAAGTAATTAGTAGAAAAAAACACAATTGCTAGAATGAGTGCTATTTATACTAATGCTGAATTATATATTTAAACAAGACCAGTTAAATTTAATTGGACTGTATTCAGTACAGTATATACATTACGTATTATTACATGTATTTACACACACAGATTTAAAAAAAACCCACTTTTAATTAAAAAAACTTCAATTATAAGTCCTCAGCAGAGTTACCAGAATGACCCTATGTTACAATATTGTAAATCTACAGTGCACTACTGTTTGTATCATTTCTGTGAGCATCATTTACAACACCATTTATATACTACACATTGTTTGGTAACAACAACAAAATATTTAGGTGTATTTCAAAATACTAACAGAAGCAGGTATTTCTTTCCAGGATTAAAATACTGAATTATAGCATTTGGAAGCTTTCTTAATTGCACTGTACTTGTGTGTATTTGCTGAAATCTGATCCAGCAGCTGCAGAGACTACTCCTTCCCTTCTTTAAGTAAGAACTATCTTTTCCACATATAACAGATTTTCAAAATTAATTAGTATGTTTCAAAGACCCCACATACATCCTACAAATTTAAATTTAGGAGCCCCCATAAAACGTAAAACAATGAATTCTAAGCCTCAGATAATGTTACACCTTCTGGCTGAAGGCAAGATTCCCGAGCTGAATAGTAGCTCTGGGTGGAGCCATTCACTGGAAGTTAACCCTCACGTTCTATGTCAGTCCAACTATTCATTTCACATACACCCAACTAAGGAGTAGTGGGCTACCTTTTTTTGAACAAATTTATCTTTCCAGAGATATTGAGAAGACAGAAAACAGAATCATTACTTACATGGGAAGGAACCAAAATAAAAGGACCGAAAACAAAACTCCAAACCACACAGCATTATAATCAAGTATCATTTTAGCAGGTATGGAGAGGAAAAAAAAAAGAGGAAAATCCTTTCCACCTCCAGCTAGGTAGTTTGAAAACCACTACCCAAAGTTAACTCTTCCCCATGCATCATGAATGATGGTAACTGGTTTTTACAGCTTAGAAATGGCAGAAGCTAACACAAAGAAAAGGACAAAGCAGTACATAAATCCTGGACTCAATGGGGAAAGAACTAGAGGAGCCGGGGACAATGAGGGAACACATATCATGGCAACAACAGATGTAGAGAATGCTCAGTAAAGCCAATTCCTCATACAGGACCCTGGATATGCAGCTTGTTAGGCAAAACCTTCTTCAGCTAAAACTCCTATTAACCCTCCACTCCCCAGATCTATCCCAAAACAGGAGACTGCACATGCACTGCTTCAATTTTCAGACACGTTGCTGAGTACGGGGTACAGCTACTGGGCTTTTGCTTAAGAGTGTGAAGCAGTCTGAAGTAAACACCATTTGAGAGCAATGTCAGCAGTCAACTGCTTCTTCCGAACTCAGATACTGTCAACTTCTGATGGAAAAGTTTTTGTATATTTTCCCCCAGTGTTGGACAGATCAATACTTTCATATTTAGCTATGCAGTGGCATTAGGAGGACAGAAAGGAATACAGGAATTCTGTAAAAGCTGATTTAGAAAAGGGTTATTAGATTATGTAAGAGAGGTTAAAAGGGAATTATTTATACTGAAGTTATATTTAAAAATAAATGGTAATAAGAAACCAAAACCCAATTCCATTCCTCTATCACTGGGACAGAAGCAATACTGCTTCTGGAAGTTGTTACTAATAATACTGTTAACTTTTCTAATCAAACTTTACTATTTTCATGTGCTAAAGGGATCATTCAATTAAGGGCATTATTCCTTCCAAAATACAGACACTGAATAATTTATACTAATTAGCAACAACTCACAGAATTTCTAAATAAACAATCTTTTTTTCCTCTGGAAATTTGCCCACGCATGCAAGAAACAGCGGTGAGATTTATTTTATGGAAGGCCTCTGCTCCTGAAAGTGTGTAGCTGACAATTCTGCACCTTAAATTGGTAATTCAATGGTAAATAATTAAACGGAGTTAATCACATCACACTCTAAAATTATTCAGTGAATGACACGTCAGTTTTATTTTTTAATTTTTAGGTTTTGCTCAATAATAGTTGGCCAGTTATGGCTCAGGGTGTTTTTTGTTTGTTTCATTTTTTTTGAGGTTAGGATGCTGAGGGAGGAAGACAGGTAAAGGAAAGAGGTGAGGACAGTCACACAGGCCTAAGAACTGCGTTCATATGACCTGAACTTCTTAAGACATATTCTAAGCACGTTTTAAAATACAAAGCCTCTCCAAGACACTGGAGTAAATTAGCATTTTAAGTACAAACATATCAAAGCAGGTAAAGTTACATTTCACTAAATACAAAGATTTTTTTTATGACTACAAAAATCCGCTTCCTCCTCTGAGCTGGCTAGGAGAGTTACTGGCTCAGAGCTGATATTAGCATTAGCTCAGGACTCGTCTGAAAAGGTTTTAAAGATCAAGGAGTGGCCTGAGTTGTAATTGTGTTTCTTAATCCTTCATTGCAGTATATTGCAAGACTTGAGACACCAAGCAACCAGGCCAGATATACTGCTCTGTTACGTCAGCTGAAACTCCTAATCCTCTCTGACTTCATCCACAGAAAAGGGGCACTCTTACACGCACCACAGGGACTGCGTGATGGACAGGAAGCAGCAGAACTCACAGGTACTTCCTTTCAATTTCAGTGACTTCTGATGGCTACCACTGAATAAAGAAAACTAAGCGCTCCTGCCTAATGAGACTGAAGTAGTGATTTTATACTATGTTTGTTACTCCTCCATATCCTGGACTGTATCCTGGGCTGTATCCAGAGAAGTGTGGCCAGCAGGTTGAGGGAGGGGATTCTGCCCCTGTACTCTGCTCTTGCGAGACCCCACCTGGAGTGCTGCATCCAGCTGTGGAGCCCTCAACATCAGAAGGATATAGACTGGTTGGAGCGAGTCCAGAGGAGGCCATGAAGATGCTCAGAGGGCTGGAGCACCTCTGCTGTGGGGACAGGCTGAGAGAGTGGGGCTTGTTCAGCCTGGCGAAGAGAAGGCTCCGAGGAGACCTCATTGCAGCCTTCCCGTACCTGAAGGAGCTACAAGGAAGCTGGGGGGGACTTTTGACAAGGGCCTGTAGTGACAGGACAAGGGGTAATGGGGTTAAATTGAAAGTGGGGAGGTTTAGATTAGATATCAGGAAGAAATTCTTCACAGAGAGGGTGGTGAGGCACTGGAACAGGTTGCCCAGAGAAGCTGTGGATGCCCCATCCCTGGAAGTGTTCAAGGCCAGGCTGGATGAGGCTTTGAGCAACCTGGTCTAGTGGAAGGTGTCCCTGCCCATGGCAGGGGGGGTTGGAACTGGATGGTCTTTAAGGTCCCTTCCAACTCAAACCATTCCATGATTCTATGATTCTTGTGTCCTTGACTATGAGAGAAATGTTAATTTTGATACCGATTCCTCCAATGGTGCAGTGGTATTAAACAAAATTATGATTCCACCTTTATCATTACTGCTTTTCTCATCTCTCACTGTAGCGTCTTAAATTGATCTTCCCCACTTACCATTATAACTGAAAAGTTGGTTGAAAAAACATAAAACAGATCACCTGCATAAAAAAAGCTCTGGTAGCTATTTATCTCTGTAAAATGGAAATCTAAACCAACCATCTGCATTGGGTTTGCATGTCAAGGTTTTGGTATCAGGGGACTGCAGGGCTGGCTTCTGCGAGAAGTTGCTAGAAGCTTTCCCTGTGTCCAACAGAGCCAATCCCAGCCGGCTCCAAGATGGACCCACCACTGGCCGAGGCCGAGCCCGTCAGCAATGGTGGTAGTGCCTCTGGCATAAACATGTTTAAGAAGAGAAAAAAACTGAAAAGGGGAAAATTTTGCAGCAGAGGAAAAGTGAGCAAGATGTGAAAGCAACAACTTTGCAGACACCAAGGTCAGTGGAGGAGGAGGTGCTCCAGATGCCAGCGCAGAGGTTCCCCAGCAGCCCGTGTTGCAGACCGTGGTAAGGCATGTTGTGCCCTACAGCCATGGAGATCCACAGTGGAGCAGAGACCCACCTGCAGCCCGTGGTGGACCTCACACCAGAGCAGGTGGATGACTGAAGGAGGCTATGGTAGTGCAGCTCCTCAGCACAGATCCTTCCACAGACCAGGTCTGGTTCCACATTCATGTTTAAGACTAATTCCAAAATTATTGTTTTGAGTTTTACTTCTTTCAACCTTTATGTACAGAAATGCTGCCACTAGATTTAGAGTGAAACAAATGGCTCTAATCACCTCAACATAGATCTCTCTAGTGTGTGTATGCACAAACAGAAGAGACGCTGAGAAGTAATGAAGCTGGGCAGACTGGACTAATAGAGGATGCAAAACTAAGTAGTCCTTTGTGAATTACTATGGAAACCTGGTCTTCCCTATGAACACCAAGATCAAGGATATGAGTGACCAAGTAAACTGCAGGGTAGAAAACAGGAACATGTGAGAGATGCCGTATTACAAAACTTAAAAGGAGAAAGTTAAGACTGAAAAATAGTATTCAGTGTCATTTTGCAAATTGCTTCTGAGTGGAAAACATAATTACAACTTGTACCATCAATTTGGTATGACACTGGAACAGAAACTTGAACAGTTATGTACGCTAAGGCACATTCAAGTCATTGGCCAAACTCTAGTCAGAATGATTTCCTCCTTCGGTTTTATCGTGCAAATTAAGAGACAAACAAGCAGCCCTATGCTCATGGATGAAGTTTCACAATAGCATTATCTTCTAACCTTTGCACCTCGATCTTTGAGCTTCTCATTTTCAGTAGTTACAATCCAGAACATAAGACCAAGATATCTATTAACTATCCAAATGTCAGTGGAGTGAATAAGAGCTCTAAATACAAATTCTTCTATCGTAATCAGTTTCCAATTCTTCAATATAAAACTTTGATTTTTACTCAAATCTAGATCAGCAATAATCCACCTAACCTACTGTGATATTATAACTCTTCACTATTTTATTATAGTGTGCTGAGAGCCATCTAGTTTAGCAACAACTATTGCACTGAAATACTTTTTTTTCCAGATTCCAGTCTAGCAAGCCTTATCTTCTCCATGCTGCTGAAGTATCTTATTACTCATACACTATTGAGGTTTTAATCTTTTCAAGCCTATAATTTGCTGAACCTTATTCACATTTGTGATTTCAGTCAGCCTCATAATGCTAAATAAAATCAACTATATCAGAATAACCAAAAAGAGTAACAGGTGCTCAGCAACTGTCATTCCCATTTGTCTTCTCATAGGTTTTTACTTCCTTGGGAAGCAGCAATACAGACGATTCCACACTTGTTCTGCTAAGCTGCAAATATAAAATTGAATGAGAAAAGTAGCTTGTGCCTTTTACACCTTCAATTTATTGTTGCTAAGCCTGTATGAGCTTCTTCGTTAATGTCCTGAAAAAAATTCACAGATGCCTTAGCAGTTCATCAGTTACCCGAGAAATAAATCTGAATTTACAACAAAGCACAGATTCTACAAAATTCTCTGCGTTTTTTCCAACGGCTCTCATGCTAAGCAGTTGATTCTGAAACAGTGACGCTGACAACAATGCATGTGGCATTGACACTGGCCCTGAGCTTGACCACAAGTGACTTCAGTGACGCAGGATTAAATCAGAATGAACAGGTTGCTCAAGCTAGTCTAGGCCTTACTACTGATATTGTAACAGTACTATTAAAATAACTGGGTGATATCTCATAAGACACACCTCTGCATTCTAGACCATTCTTTTAAAATTCTCTCTTTGCATGAGAAAGGGCAGAATCTTTACAGTCCTCTGCCAGCATTCTACTTCATTACTTTTAAAACCAGACTTAGGTTTACCAGGTAGCCATTGGTTCTGCCATTACCTTGCTTTTATTTCAAATTGGACTAAGATAAAGCTATTAAATTACACAGTTTTGTCCACAGAAGTCATAATAATTGTTTCCCTGGTAACTACTGCAGTAACGACAATTTGTGAAATGAGTGAAATGAAAAAAGTATTTTCTGAATTTGTCTGTTCAGACAGCAATGAAAAGCTTCTCAGCAATTTCCACTTACCTTTATCTCAGGCTCTTTTTCACATTCTTCTATATATAAATCATAGAGTTTTTGAAATACAGATTTTCTGAAATTAAAAAAGCTTAAAATGTAACCAAAATTAAGTCAAAGAAATGCTATTTAAAAGCTAAATACCGAAACTATTCCTACCTTCCACTGGATAAATATTTTCTTTTGGGAGGTCTCTGACGGGCACTTTCAATGATATACTAGAAGAGAAAAGTAAACCAAACAAATAATATACATATTACAAAGTAACTTAATTCTAGCTACTTCATATCATTAGCAGACAGTGTTCTATGGATACAGGAAGTAATTAACTGTTATGGTACATGATCGTTTCAGAAGTGTACTAAACGTGACCTGGCATACGCTAGTCATCAAAGACACATTTCAATTTAGCTGTGAAACAGCATTTCATGGCTACACCATGAGTTGCACACAAAGCCTTGGGTTTACATTCATGTTTTATAATTACAATACTAAATAACACTGCTGTAGTAAACACCACTGTACTTAGTTAACGCTACTGAAGTTGACGTGCTAAGATACTACCAAATTCATGTGTACTGGCTTGACAATATTTACAAATCAAGGATTCCAACATAACAAAGTTCAGTAAGTTTAGTTTTTCCCTTCTTTCTTGCATTTACACTAGTTTTCTCTATAGAGCTGTGTATTATAAATGAAATACCTGTACATTAAGTATTTAAATTGAAAAAGAATAAAGATATCCTACATTAAACGTAGTTTATACTGTAACAAGATTTTTCCAAATTATTGTTTGTCTGAAGTGTTTTAATTAACAGCCTGTTTCAGAACTTCCATGAAGGGAGGATCTCCCACAGAAACACAAGTTTCCCATGACAGGGTTCAAGGTAACTGTTATACCAGATGTCAGCAAGAAAGAACATGAAAGTGAAGGCATTTACCTCTTCGTTCTAACTGGGTTACCCTTAAAAATATAAACAGGATTTTACTTAATATTTCTGCCAGCTGTCTCTGGATCACTATTGTACAGCTCTGCTTATTTCACAGCACACAGATTTGCTGGTTTAAAAGGTGAAAACTGAAGTCCTGCATAGTCCATCAGCATTGCACTTGATCATGTTCTCAGTACAATGGGTAAGAGAGAAATATGTGACAGTAATCTTCATGAGAATTTTTGCAAAACCAGTGTCACATGTATGGGTGATTATTTATATATGCATATATATTTACAGAACATGTTCCTCTACTGCTTTTCAAAAGAAACATAAAAATACAATACTTATTTTTAAACTGCAAGACCAGTAGCTTATGTGCAGACAAATACTGCTACTCCTTACCTCTGCACGATCCAGTGCCAGTTCTAGAGCCTGTTGCTGCAAGAATTACAAAGGTTTTTTTAGAACGTACATTAACTGTTTAAACATCCTCATACATAAAAACCACTACAAAACCTCTGTTACTACTGATAGGAATTTATAGTTAGAAGATGGGCTCAAACATTCTTCGGCGCATATCAAACATAGCAGCTGAAACTTCACCTAACTGCATCAACAGTAATTAATCCCACTACCAAGTGTCTACACTTCCAAGGCTTTGGCTAAATTATGAAGTCCTAGAACAATGAAAGACAATTATAATTAAATGTAGGAATAGAAATTACACATGATAAAAGTAGTAACAAGTATTAATCAAAACAATTAGAGATGAGAAGTAGAAAATTCAGGCTATGCTACTCAAAAAAAAAAAAAAGTGTTCTGGAGAGTCTTCCACTCTTCAGTAAAGCCTAGAAACACTTGTAAATAGGTACTCCTTCCCACAGATATATATTTGTGGTTTTTTCTGCAGTTTAACCCATCCCTATCAGCTGTTCATGAAAGCAAATACCTTTACTTGAACTTCAAGGAACAGGAGGCATAAGCTACATCCAATACATGGCAGTACCAGTTATTTCATACATTAGATTAGAATTCAGGGCAGAAAAGCATACTGCAATAACAACCAAAAAACATACACCAAAAATACTTGTGCTTTTTACTGTTAGCCTACGGTCTCTCTAATACAAAATTTCTTACTTGTTCTTGAAGTAAACAACCAAAAAGCACTTAACAACATGGTATTATTCATGAGAACCGTCCACTGCAGAACATTAAAATTTTAAAGTGTTTAGGTGCTTACATGACCATGTCAAATACTCATGCTTTCCATACAGGTGACGTAGATAATAGCATTATTTCAGACATTCAGTTTGCTGACTTCTTGACAATAAGTAAAAAACCATGGCAGTATTGTCACCTGTGAATAGGAGAGTCCACATGGAGGCAGGATTTATAACTTCATACTCAACTGTCTAATGCCAGTCATGACTGAAAACACACCCCTAGCTTTATATGATAATTCCTATAATGCACTGCACAGTGACTAAGTGTTTAGAAGCATTTATAAGCTAAGAAGGAAGACATCCCTGAAAAAAAAAAGAAATATCAGAACTCATAATTCACCAGCAAAATTTCTTTTTAAAGGAAATGAGAAACATTAATAGCATTCTCTTAATCAGCCAGGCAGATAGCAAACTAGAGTGAAAGATCTGAAAACATGATTATCTAAATCATAACTTACCATTGTAGTTGAAGATAGGTGACCAAATGGATAAAGAAGTACTTAAGTTTGGTGCAGCAGGCAAACAATCATATTTTATGGTCACACTTGGGGTACTGAAAAAAAAAATCAAGGAGAAAAAATATCACTAAGAAATTAAGTAAGTATTTTAAAAGAACGTTTTCAGTGGTTTGTTGTACAAATTTCAGTTGCATAGTATCCTTTCCTCTAAAAGTAGAAACAAAAAAGTTCCATTCAGTGTTAAGTGCAGAGGTTCCTATTCTAATGACTATTACTTTGCTCAATCAAGTCACATTAGTTATATTAAACAGTAAAGTAACAATAAGCATTTAATTGAAATTATATAGCCAAGTACTCTCCTCTATTGCAGCAAACACCCCAAACATGACATCCGCAGATGCACAGGCGGCTAGAATATTTAATGACAAGCAGCCAGAACATTTAGCATACATTAATAGGCTTTTCGTTTTGTTTTTATAAAGGTATTATTCCATAGACAGTTCCACTAGCAGTGCCTTCTAGCACTATTTTGAGATGGCAGTTTAATACTGACTCACAGTAGGCTGTCAATTACAAAGTGAATAAAACTTGCACAGCACGAGCATGTTCCTTAGATGCCCTCACCCTACATACTATGTCCCTATGCCATTTCAATCTTAAATTCAGCTAGATAGTTGTATGCAAAAAACCCACAAAACTAGCTTAACCCCCCCAATCTTTAAATCCTGTCCTTAGTGTCGTTCCCAATGAGATGCTAAAATTCAAGTTTGCTTTCACGTTTGAACACTACAGCATCTCACTTAAGAACTTAAGTTTGCTGTAAATATATTCCACCACGCATGATTTTGTGGAAACATTTCTGCTGCGGCTACGTTCCACATCAGCTTTGACAAACACCTTCCTAGATTCGAAATGACATATGCGTGCTACCTCACACCTCCCTAAACGTTACTCAGCTGCTTCAGCACGGAGCCAATCTCAACAGAAAAAAAAGCTGCAATGACTCAGAGCTCCCCGCGAGGCTGAAACCTACTGGCAGACGGCAAGGTGGTGGGCGAAAAGGCGCCTGCACAGGAGGTTTTAGGGGATGTACACCCGTGCCATCCTTACAGGCCAGCTCCTTCCCGAGCGGCCTCTCCGCTCTCACCCCAGCTCTCGCTGAAGCCAGGTCCTAAAGCCAGAGACCAAGAGAAAACCCAGCCCGGCTGCGAGCGAGGCACAGGTGCAAGCCCGACGGGGAGCCCGATCC